TGATGATGATGATGATGATGATGATGATGATGATGATGATGATGATGCTGCTAAATAAAATTTAAACTCCACTAAACATAGAGGAGTATATAAGTTTGTGTTTGCTGTGGCCCTATTCTAATTAATTTATCTTATTGATTTATGACCTTATTATATTGTATCACATTATCAGTAGGAGTGTGAACCCTGAGTCATGTTATTTGGCTTTAGTTCTAATTCCAGCTAGGTGTGCTGTTGCTACCTGGAGTCCAAGCACTTGGGAGGAAGAGTCAGAAACGGGAGAATCTGTGCAAGTGTAAGGCCAGTCGGGACTCCACAGTGAGAGCCTGACTCAGCCATTCCCCACAAAAGCAACTGCAACTCCACACCAGGCTGCCTTAGTGACTTTGGTCATGTTTCTTCACTTCCATTCTTTTAATCTGTAAGTGTGGATACTGCCATGAAGGTGTTGATTACACGAGAAAATGTGAATTATAACCATGGTAAACATACAAATCCTCAAGAAATGTTAACAGCTCTCGTTACTGTCTCCCCATCACCCCATCTTACATTGTTTCAAGCCGTTTATACCCACAACAGACCACAGTACCAATTACAAGTCTATCTTAAAGGGCGGATGAGGTTTTTGGAGTTGTCTTTACAGGAGCGTGGATGAAGGGTTACTTACAGGGATGACTCAAAGGCTGTTGCGTCACTGAAAAGCCCTGCCTGGCATGGATGATGACTTACAAAATCTGCATCTCCGGAACCATGTAAACAACTTTCAGGCAGCTGGACAGTGCGGAGGCCTTCTCCAGGCAACTGCCCCGGGGAGTCTCCTCACCCAGCAGTTTTTTTGTTTTTGTTTACTCTTTCCATAATCTTGAGGTGTTTGCTGCTTTATGACCTTGAGGAGGGGCATCTGTGAATCTCGTAGGTTTCGTCTTCCCCAGATGTGTAAAGCGTGATTACTTCCTGAGTCTCGTGAATGCCCTTCCTCCTTCCTACAGGGGGTATCTCAATTCAGAGGAAATGGCTGGACAACACCAATATTGTCGCAGGCCCAGGAGTCAGGGTAAACATCTCAAAGGCTGAGGAGGCAGTTCAATGGGTGAGAGCGCCTGCTGTGTAAGCATGAGGACCTGAGTTCAGATCCCCAGGACCCATGTAAGAAGCTAGGTAGGTCCGTGCCATCCTGTAACCCTAGCGCTGGGAGAAGGGGAGAATCACTGGGCTTACTGGTCAGCCATGCCAACCAAAAGAGAAGGCAAGCTTTAAATTCAGGGAGGGCCCCTGTCTCGAGGGGTAAGCAGAAGCGATAGCATAAGATACTCCCACTCTCTTATAGCCTCCATGTGCACATGCTCAGGCACTCTGTCCTGCAGAAAAGTGGACAGACAAGAAATCACTACATTAACTCAACTAGGTCAGACCCAAAAGAAAAACACCGCAAATTGTCTTTCAGTTCAGTTATTCAATGGCTTATACTTTTTTATTGGTTTTCCAGTGAATCACATAATTCATCTTCCAAGAAAAGTTCAGCTCAGAGTTTAAAAATCTGAGAGTTCCAGCTAGCTAGCACAAGGCCATCTGCAAAACAAGCACAGAAAACTACATAAAAGGGAACTTTCAGGTCCTATTACTCACACAGCGGCGAGGTTATAAAATTGTAAGGTGTTTTGCTTTTCATTTTTTCAATTTTTCTCTGATATGGCTGTAACCATTTTGGAAAGACCGCATCGTGAGCATTACCATAATCCAGCAACACTAAATATTAGTCAGTTCGCTTCATGATGCTCACACACGTGAGTACGCACGTTTGCATATGTGTGTATATGTTTATGTTCGGATCTAGGCTCCACTTATGAGAGACAATTTGCGGTGTTCGTCCTTTTGGATCTGACCTAGTCTAGTTAATGTAATGATTTCTGGTTCTGTCCACTTTTCTGCAGGACAGAGGGTGAACCAGGGTAGTGGAACCCATGTGATTTAGAAGCAGCGGAGGGAATATTTGGAAGAAAGGAGACCAACAAGAAGGGGACACGGAGAGCAAGACATGTCAGTGGGGAGAGGAATGAATTAGGCTGGATTATAATACCATCTATACATTAAAATGATGTAATGAACCCCATAACTTTGAGTGCTAATATAAAAATTAACAAAACTTAAGCAGGAAGCATGCTAAACTAACCGATAGAAAATAATCTCTAGCTAGACATCTT